TAGCGGCTGTTTCTGTGCATAACGGTCCACATGATCCAGCAGAGGTCCAACTTCATCCTTTACCTTTGGAAGCGTTATAAGAGCTTTGGTTCAAGAAGTGTTTCCAGAAGCAGGAGACGTTTTTAACAGGAGGACAGTCCATCTGTTGTCTTGACTGACCTTTTTCCTCGGGTTGAAATGAGTTTAAAGACATTTATAAATAAAATAACGATTAGAACCTGACCAGCGTTGTGTTTGGTCTCCCTCTAGAACTCTGCTAACGTCTACGAGCTTCAGGAAGGAACCACATCGGACCTGCTGAACGCTCGCTTATCAGGGGAGATCATGTCTTTGGCGCTGCTCCAGTACCAGGGCCGTGGCTGGCACGGACACATTCAGATCACCCGGGAACTGCCCGAGTTCTTCGCCGTGTCCCTGACCTGCGACACTGACGCCAGCCTGAGCGTGGACGTGAGCATCCACGTGACCAAAACCAAGAGCCGCCTTCTGCTGTCGCTCTTCAGCCCCTACTGGATCATCAACAAGACGTCCAGAGTGCTGCAGTACCGGTCCGAGGACGTCATGTACAAGCATCCGGCCGAGTACCGAGACGTCGTCCTCTTCTCCTTCAAGAAGTCCAACCTGTTCACCAAAAGCAAGGTGAGCGTCAGTCAGAGGGGCGGAGTTTCATCAGGAAGAGGTGTTTTTATCTTAGATGGTGGCTCTGTTCGAATTCATGCTGCGTCCTCCAAGGACGCGGCCTACCTGGACTGGATCCTTCAAGGTTCATGAAAATAAGGAGAGAGAAGAGTTTTTGCTGTGAATTCAAACAGGTCCAGCCTTCGTATGCTCTGTCGCCTAGCAACCAGGACAGGTGACACACAAAGCAGGAAGAGAATGAATACTGAACTTTTCAAAAACTGTTTCTTTTTTATTTTTATTTATTTTTTATTATAAAGTGAACAAAGACTGATTTAATCCAGAGTGGAATAAAGGTTCCAACCAGCAGGAACAGATAAAATCAAATGTAATGATTTCTACCTTAGTCAGTTAAATAACCTGCTGCTATCATTCTGCACATCTCTGATGTTGCTGCTATTTTCTAATTACTGTAAAAATGTCCATAGCTGCATATTGGTTATTTATTCCCCAGTTTTATATTGTTAAAACACTTTACAGGATTTTATTATTTTATCTTTTAACTCTTCCCTATTATGTTATTCTTAGACATTTTTCTAAGATCCACATTCGTGTGACCATTTTCTTCTAAATTCTTTCTTTTTTTTTATTTATGCTGAGATTTTCGTAGAAAGATATAAGTAAACCTAAACAATATATGTATTAAAAATATGTCTCTTTAAGTATCTATTATTTATCTTATGTTATACAATATATCTATTATATTCAACAACTAAAAGTTGTTTTTTTGTTGTTGAATACAAATTGCGCTAAACAGCAATTAAAAATTAAAATCCTATCAGATTTATAGCCCCCCCCCTGCAGATCTATTAAAATCTGTCCTTAAATTAAAGCCAAACCCATTTATACAGCAACAGATAAAAACCTTTAGATAAATCAAACTTTATACAAACTTCTATTGAACTGATCTTCCAATATTCACCACTGTTCGGCGCCAAGTAACCTTTCCTCTGATCACGGAGCAGCTGGCTTCCTTGGTCTCGCAATGAATCCTGGGAAAACCAAGGATAGCGAGGATACATCGGACCCGTCCTTCAAATCAGGCAAAAAGAAGGACGCATTTTAAGGCCGTATAACGAGGACTCTTGGAATCCGACCGGACCTCGGCGCCGCGCTGTGATGTAATCGACCTTTAAATCTGGCCTTCAGAGGACGCAGCCCATGAATTCAAACAGAGCAATTCTCTCACACTGAGAGTTAAAGGTTGGGATGTTTCTAACTCAGATCCCACAGAGCTCAGTGGTGCAGAATGAAAGTATTACATTTACAGAAAGAAAATTTGTGTTCAGTAAATTTCCTATTTATAGTTCATTTTAAACATGATTAACACCAGAATCCATGTTTGGAACAAACATCATCCAAGAACTCCAGATTCTTTAGTTTTTACTCAAACCTTTAAGGGAAATTCAT